GCTAGCTTCCCCAGCACACCGAAGCGTGCATTCAAGGCAACAGCAGCTTCTACCTAGAGCAAATTGAAATATTAAAATTACGGTAAGCTCATAGTTTGGCTGGAAGAGAACAAGAATTAGCATGGGATGTACTATTAAAAAATCGCCCAAATCGATTTAAAAAAGGCTGCAAAAATGTCTTTTTTTGCAAATGAGGCGCAAAACAAAAACTCCCACTTTGGTTGAAAGCCAGCAAAACTGGAAGCGTCTCTCTCTCTCTCACACAACCTTTTTTCTTACGTTTCCAGAAACTAGTCCAGTCACTAAAGCAAACAAATATACTATCTATAAATAAGCACTCGCACGTATGCGCGCACACACAGAGATAAAAATTCACGTGGACTTTAGTGTCCGCTAGAAATGAGGCAAATGTAGCACTGTTCTGCAAGGAACCTCCTCCGCTGCCAAAAGCATCGGCCTGCCCCCTTTGCGGTAAAATGCAGTTCTTTAATTTTCCAGCAGCTTGCAAAACTGCACTTAGAATGTTCGATGCGACGTTCTCGGTCCTTGCCTTCACGAGCAAATTCTCAGATAGTTGCTTTACGGAAGATATGAGTAAAAAAAAAAACGATGTACACACAACAGCAGCAGATGCCGGTAATCACGTGGGGCGCAGAAAAAGCCACAACGCGCCAAAATCATTCGGAAGCCCGGACGGGGTACTCGATTTGCCGCGCAGATAGGATGGGGGGTACCTGCTCGGACAAAGTTAATCTCCTGGCTTGATTGAAGTATGCAAGCAAAATGACAAACCAGTATGTAGTCTCGGGCACGGGTCAGCAGTGACAGGGTAGTGCTTCGAGCATTCTCGGCCCCCGGCGGCACGATTTCCTTCAGGCGATCCAGGTAGCCGCGAAGATTGGCACGACGCGTCTTCTCAAGCTCATTATGCGCTGCCCTGCAATTAATCGCACAATGTAGTTTTTCCATGCTCACAGTCACCGAACTGAGGACAAGAGGGACTGCGATGCGACCAGACGGGTGAGAAAATGTAGTTAAGCGGCTGGCGCACCATACAATCGAGACGAAGCGACGGAAAAAGGAGGAAGAGGCTCGCTGGATGCCCGCGCCCTGAACTTGCTGAGACGCTCGAACTGGACTGAAAGGACAGCTCGCACTGGTCACTTCATCATCCGAGAACTCTAAGCTACTTCGGACATTGGCGGATCCAGGACGGAGGGGCGAGAGGCCCTCTCAGAGGCCCAGGTAGCAGTTGTTTTACTGTACAAAAGTTTGCTCGGTATCCCCCTTCCCCCTCTAGGAGACCACCCTGGATCCGCCCCTAATTTCGGAGTGCCTTTCCGGAATTGTGTGTTGCTATTCTGCGATTAGTCTGGACACGCGGCTAACGCCATTTTCCATCCTCACTCGTTTTCCAACCACACGTGAGCTCAGCGTAGTCCA